AAAAAAAAAAAAAAAAAAAAAAAAAAGAAATAGATCAAAATACACATTGGAATTGAAAAAAAAATGTATGCGGTATTTCAAACCTATAGGGGAGCATTGTGTGGAAGAATTGGCCATGCCATCCCCTCCCCAATCAGAGGACAATTGTTGACTTGAAAGGGTGTAACTGAGGCAGGTGCCTTATCCCTGGCTATCAGAGCATGCAGCCACTAAGAGTTCAGTGTAGACCTTCTGTGATGCCTTTAGGTTTCCCATACCCCCAAGGAAAGCAGGAGAGAAACCAGCTGCTTTGTTTTTCAGCAAAATAATGGCTACTCACTAATTCTGTTAATTTTGAGAGGAAATATTCTTGCTTCGATATAGTTTTAGACTGCACAGTCTTGAGGGGGAAGAAAAATAATTTATCCAGAGTGAGATGCTTCTTTTTAAGGTCAACCAGTAGAGGAACCATACCAGCAGCTCTGCCGCCATGCTCATGGGTGTGAATATTGCAAATAAAACAGGAATTGGAGGTTCTTCTTTCACCGTCTCCCAGGAGCTGGGCTTCTACCCTCTGCACCTGGGGGACCATTGGCTGAAACCCAGGGTTGGATGAAATTACGAAACTGAGACTCAGAACCTTATTTGAAGATAAGAATACAGGCTCCTTGCTGGAAGAAGTGGAATTTTCCTGAGGAAGGGAAGGTAGAGTTTCTCTACTTCGAGACTTGAAGAAGAGGATGCAAGAGGGACATTAACAAACCAAAGTGCTGGAGAACCCAGTTGGAAAGCTGTTGGAGAAGAGCAGGGTCATGAACAGCTAGGCCACCAGCTGCCTTCCCTCGTACGACTTGAGGGAGAAGTGAAATTTAATCTGTTTGAGTCTCAAAGAATTCTCCTTATGGAGTGATCCCCCTCTGGAAATGTCCTAACTTTTCCTAAAGGAACATGTGCTGTCTGGTGTGCTTGTCTTGTGAACACTAAGGAGGCAGGGTATCACAAGGTAGAAGGGTCTATTCTTCCCGTCTCCTGGCCTCCAGTGAGATGGAGGGTCACCCCCAGGTGGACTTGACTCTGAGCTCCAGGGGTCATTGCGCTATCAGAAGATGAGCCAGAGCCAGCTCCTGAAAGCTACATGGCACCAAAGGAGTGTTCTGGAGTGAAATGGAAGATCAAATCTTCTGCTAAGTCCTGTAATTTAAAGAATGCTGCTCCCAGATAGGAGATGAGGACACTCAGCAAACTCTTGAGCTGTTATTTAAGAAATGATGTTGGAAGACTTAGATATTATTTAATTAAATGTGTTGGAATAATTAGATAATAAGTTAAGACCGTATGTCACACCAAAAACAAAAATTTATTCCAAATGGATTGAATTGCTAGCTGTGAAAAAATATAGCATGTAAAAAAATGAAACTATCAAATATGAGGTAAAATATAAGAGGGTTTTTTCCCCTAATAATCTTGGGGTAGTCCCAAGCAAGATCTGAAACCCAGAAGTCATAAAAGGAAAAAATGCCAGATTGGACCGCATAGAAATTCACAAAAGACGCCCTAAAAACAGTCAAGATATAGGGAACACACCCCAGGAGAAAATACTTGTAATATAGATATATAGAGATAAACATATCAGACAAAGATTAATCTCCCTAACAGAAAAAGAATACCAACAAAACAATAAGAAAAGACAACCCAATAGAAAAAAGATCAAAGGATATGACTAAGGACTTCATAGAAGAAAGAGAAATGGTTAAAATGCATGTTAAAAACAAAACAAAACCATGAGCCTTTATAATGTTTAAACATGATTATAAATATAAAATATTTAAACATGACTTTTTCACCTACGGGTGAAAAAGGCTTCTGAAAATATAGAGCAAAGTCTGGAAGAGTATGCACTAAACTATGAACAGTGCTGCATTTTGAGGGACTATAATGGGGGAAGCAGAGCTGGGGTCTTTCATTTTGTTATTTTACATAAATTTTTTAAGTGGTGGGATTATGGGTGATTTTTAGTTTGGGGATGTTTTGCGGTATAATTTAATTCCTTTGAAAGCAATGCAGTACTTTCAGGCGGTTTGGAAGTTTTTGTCATAATAATGTATGAGTTAATTAAAAGAAAGAATCAGATCATTTTTACCTATTCTCACATCTCAAACCGATTTTTATGCACATTATTTGTCCTTGTACTTAACTCATGGATATCTTCAATTATACATTTTCCTGAACATACTTCTTTCTAGATATCCCCCCACAAACCCCCCAAAAAAGAAAAGAAAGAAGGAAAGTAAAAATAAGGTGCCATATATATATGTAAGAATTTAATTATTTTAATATATTATTACTTTCACTAAAGTTCTTGGCTCTGGTGAGGACCTAAGTGACTAAGTTACTGGACAGCCAGACATCATTTTGGGAAATAAATTTTCAGAAAGATCAAAAGAAAATGCCCTTCTATGTGACTTTTGAATATACCACTTGAAAAGACTAGCTATTATGTGTAAATATTACATAATTCAAAGAGTCCAAAAGGGTGTGCTATAAAATTGTGTCCCTTCCACCTTTGTCCCTGAGACAGATGCTATCAAGTTTCTTGTATATCCTTCCAGAGATATTCCAGGCATGTGCAAACACTGGAATAATTATATGGTAGTCTACCATAATACAGTTCTGCATCTTGCTTTTTTAATTTAAAAAATGTGTCTTGGAAATTATTGTCTATCAGTGCATATAGAGCTATATCAGTGCTTTTTAAAGCTGCAAATGATTCCAATGCATGGATTAACCATAATTTATCTCATTAGTCCCCTACCGAGGAGCATTCATATTGTTTCCAATATTTTCTTTATCTGTACAAACAATGCTACAATAAATATCCTTGTATGTTTGTGATTTTGCAAATGTGTTAAGTATATTTGTAGAAAAAATCCTTACAGGTAGGATTGCTGGTTCAAAAGGTAAGTGCACTTTAAATTTTGAAAACTCTATAGCAATTTGTAGTCCCTTAAACCACAATAGAAAGTCTATTTCCATATGCTCTTAACTACATCGAACTTTTGATCTTTGCCAATGTTATAGGTGAAAATTGGTTTCTTATGTAGTTTCAATTTGTCTTTCTTTTATTATAACTAAACTCAAACGTTTTTGTGTATATTTGAGCCATTTATAATTCCTCTTCTATGAATTATCTGTTAATTATGTTTTAATTTTATTTCACTTCATTTATTTATTTTTAAACTTTCACTCAAATTATAAAAATAATTTTCTGCTATTTAAAGATTCTCTTTGCTGGGTAAGAAAAGAATCCAGCTACATAGTATTTATGAGAGATACTTCTAAATCAAAATAGAATGATTAAAAATAGAGGGATGAATAAGATATATCAAACAAATGCATAAAAAATAAAGAATAACAATACTAAAATCAAATAAACTAAATCCAAAGCAATTTAATAGTTCAAATTTATAAAAGGTCCTATCCAAAAAAACAGATAATAGTTATGAACCTTTATAAACCTGATGACAGATCTTCAAACTATAAAACAAAGATGGTGGAAATACAAGAAAATCTGACAAATCCACAATTCCATATTTTTGGGCTACTTGAATGTACCTCTCTCAGAAGTTAACAAATCTAGTAGACAAGAGTAAATAAGGCTATAGAGGAGTTAAATAACAAAATCAATAAGTTAATAAACAGAGAATACAAATTCTTCAAAAATACACATTGAACCATCAGAAAAATAAAACAAGTAGTAGACCGTCAAAAGCGTTTCAATAATTCTAAAAAGCGGAGATATAAACTCTGACCACAATGTAATAACATTATAAATTAATAACAAAGGTATAGTCCCTTTCAAAACAAAAACCCAAACTCCAACTATTTACAAGTAAATAAAAACATGTTTCTCTAAGACTGATAAATTAAAAAGGAAATCAAAATGGAAAATTTGATTTTTGATACTGGGAAATAAATGACAATGAGAGAAACTGCGTATTGAACCTTGTTGGATATGGCCCAAAATTAAAGGGGATAATAAAAGATAAAATTAAGAATTTTGGTATAAAACTAGAAATGTAAACATGACATAGATTTGAAAAAACTAATCAAAATTGAAAACTGAAAAATACAATAATGAAAATTAAGAATTCAGTGGGTAGATTTAACAGCAGATTAGACACTGCTGAACAGAGAATTAATGGGCTAGAAGAGACAAAAAGAAAAAGACAGAAGAGCGGGTAAAAGACAGGATACCGTCAGGTCTAAGGCGTGTAATTTGAGGTCCTAGAAGGAGAGGAGAAAAGGAAGGGCGGAGAAGCAGTGTTTGAATAGATAATGTCTGAAAAGCTCCCCAAACTGGTGAAAGACATTCAGTCACAGATTGGAGAAACTCTATGATCCCTAACAGGATCAGCAAAAAGAAATGCACACCAAGCCACACCAACTGTCAGTCTAATTGTTGCCTCTTTGAACTAAATATGCCCTTTTCCCCTCCGGCTGCCTATAAATAACCCAATCTTCAAATGCTCTTAGCTTTATCATCCAGCTAGTTCCCTCAAGGAGTTGCATAGACTTTGACCCTGTGTTTATTTTATATTTGTATGAGTCATGTTTTTAACTTTTTCAAGATTATACTTTGAATATATATGAAGCAGAGGATTCATGAAACAGTACTTTTTGTTCTTGCAGTATTTTCTGTACTATTTTATTCTTTTCCATCTTACTAAAAAATGATTCTGGTCACACTCACTACATGTGGTCTCAATCTGCAGTTTGAAAACCCTGCTTCAGGAGCTTTGAGAGTGTGCGGGAGGCGGTGAGGGAGCGGGGGTAAAATTGCATTTAAAAATCCCAATACTGAAATTTGTCTGTTTGTCTTCCCCCTCCGGGAATCAGATGACTTTGAACACTGCGCCGTGTTTTTGTTTGTTTGTTTGTTTGTTTTCTGTTTCGCTCTCTGCTCGCTCGGCGCGCAGACTCCCAGACCAGTCCCGGGAGCCATTAGGAAAATCCAGCGGCCAGTTTAATCTCAGCAGCCGCTTCCGTCCCTCCAGGCAGGGAGGACCACTGGGCTCTAGCGCTCTGGCGGGGGGCGAGCCGGCGGGTCGGGGGAGGGCGGGTCGCTCTGGGTGGGGCCTCCCGGCCTTAGAAGCCTCCCAGGCTGGCGAGAACTTTGCTGTATGTCTGCCCGGAGTTAAGACCAAGCGAGCTTCAAGTTCTCCTTGAGAGTTCGCGAAAGTTCGAGGTGAGGAGTCGCAGAACAGGCGCCATCGTCGGAGCTCTGTGGGTCTCCCTAAGTCCCCTTGTGCATCTTATGCCTTTGGTTGGCCAGCCCCTTCCTCGGGCCGGGAGGCGGACGGTTGTAGAAGGTGGCTTCCGTGTGTTTGTTAGGTCCAATTTGGAGGGACTGAGGACTGCGACGAAAAGTGAGCAGTAAGCGGACTGGCTGGCCTTCGACCGCCCCACGCAGGCTACCGGTGCCTTGGAGCCCGCCCCTCCTGATCTCTCTCTCGGGGCGTTCCGGTCCCTCTGCACTCGCGACCCAAAGGCGCGGCGGCGCGAACCATGGCTGCGCTATGCTGCGCGAGGATGCGGTGGGCGCTGCTGGGGACGCGAGTGGCACGCTCTGGCCTCGGCCCACAAGGAGCCAGAGCCAAGGCCACCATCCCTGCCGCCCTCCCGGAGGCCCAGGCAGCCGAGGCTCCCGGAACCGGGCCTGGCGATCGGAGGCTGCGGAGCCTGGAGCAGCTTCCAGGGCCAGGGCAGCTGCGCGCCTTGTTCCAGATGTTAGGGCAAGGCTACGTTCTGTACTCGCACGAGCTCCAGGTAACTGAACGAGCGGGGCCTCGCGACCGGGGGATGGGGGTGAGCACGGGGACGGGAAAAAAAAGTGAACTTAGCTCGGGACCGACTCGGGGTATGGTCATAAACTGGAAATGTGCAGGGGTTATTTGCGAAGGGTAGATGGAACCCTTTGAACTGAAATAAGGGATCGAGGAGTGGCATGAAGCAGGAGGACACCAGGAAGGAAGTGACTTGGGAGGCGAAGTTTAAAGTGAACAGAGGTTGAGAGAGGAGGGAAATGTCTTGGTACCAGAATGGCAGATGCAAGCGTGTCCGCTGCCAGATGTCACAGCACCGCTGTTTAATTCTGTGGTGTTACTGGCAACCACAGACTTCTTCCAAAGGAAATGGCTTTGGGAGGATTACAGAGGATTAGCAATTTGCAAGATAAGTTCCACTTAGGGGAAAAAAGATGTCACTTCTCAGGGAGTGACAAAAATCATAGATATGAAGGAAAAGGTGCATTTTTGTTATTAAGAAATCAAAATTTTATTATTAAGAAGAGTTTATCCAGTGGGACGCTGAGATGAGGCGGAGGTGAACAATCGCTCCGTCTCGACAGAGACTGGAAAGCCCAGTGCTGGTTTAGTTGGAGAGGTTTTAGGAAATGGACGAAAGAGATTCATGTGGGATCTGTCTTCCTAATTATGAACTCATTATGAACCAATATTAACTAGCCCGCTCTGCCCCAGACTTTTTCCCAGGTGCTGGGATTCCGTGGGATGAGGCCAATGCTTTATAGGGTGTATAAGCTCCTTTGGGGAAGAGGGCGACAAGGGAGTAAACCGATTAATGAACAGCTAATTTGAGGAAGAACTTGGGTGCCCAGGGAGGAGAAGCTGGTCCATGGTTGGGGGAGGGGGAGGCCCTTTGACTCACATGTGTTGTCCGGGCACTTGTGTGCTTATCAGTGATTGACAGGAGGAGCAGGCAAGCCTTGGGCTGGGCTGGTGAACAGACTGGTTACATGCGGCTGTACTGGGCAGGAGTCAAAAATGAGGAGCTGTGGGGGGTGGGGATGGGACCGGCCTTTGAGGATGGCCTTGAAGGCCAGAATAAGGGCCCTGATTCCACTGAGGGGCCATGGTGGGCTCTTGAGCAGGCCTGGGGTGAAGATGGCCTCCAAGGGACGATGTCGAGGTTAGGGTGTGTGCAGTAGGATAGATCGGACAGGAGAGGTGGAGAGGGCCTCAGGTGACAAAGGGCTGGGTGTGGCAGTCTCCGAGCCACCCTCCAGAGAAAACGGGACTGGGGGTTGAGGACGAGGGAAAAAATGACTCTGAGGGTTTGAAGGTCTAAGCTGACCGCATTTTCCCGGCACCTGCAACCTCTGCGCCTACCTGAGCTGCTGCTGTTTCCCCCGGAGGCTCCTCTGTTGTGCTCGTGTTTCTGAGACTCGGTGGGCAGGTCACAAGGCACTCAGAGATGGTTAAAAAAATCATTCCCTGTGGGCTCAGCTCCAAGAAACCAAGTCAGTCAAGAAATCGGAGTTCTGTCAACTTCCTCTGCTTGATTTAACTTCTAGAAATGTGAGAGGCCCAGTGAATGCCCCAAAGGTGGGGACTAAGAATTTCTCATTGTTTCTCAGGGGGAGTTTACTGGGAGGTTTTGCTCAGGATTATCTCTAGAGCATTAACTACCAAAGAAATTCTGGACTGCCCTAGGAGGTGGAGGAGGAAGCAGGAGAAAGCCAGGAATGTGTGGCCAGGGCTAGGATTTAGGAGAGCCCCCCTCGCTCCACCCCTTGCACCCCAGCTGTCGAGAGCCACGTGAACCTGGGCTGTGCCGTGGGAATATGTTAGCCCTTTCCACTACATATGTGCCTAAGTAAGAGGTGTGAGTTACTAAAGAGCAGAGAGCTGCATATCTATAAACCCCATTTAATACTCCTATTGAGAAAGGGGATGCTTTTCAGTGACCCACTTTGTATCGGTTCAGATTCATTTGGTTGCTGCCCACACTGGCTTAAACTGTAAAGCAGCTTTATTGATTGATATAATCGAAAAGTCTAAGAGTTGGTTGGCTTTCAGGCATGCTTTGCTCTAGAGATTCATGAGATCATCAAAGCTACAGTTTTGTTTTTCTGTGGTTCCCTTGGCTGTGCTGTCTTGCAGAAGTTAGTTGGCTGGCCTGGGTTAATTGCCCATCCCTGAACCTATCACAGTGGCCACAGGCAGGCTCTGATGAGCTTAGACCCGTGCAGGCTCACCCCTAAAGCTGGGGTAGGAGCCCCTCCCACCTAAACCGCACAGAAGGAGGAGTGGAATTGATGTAAGTGCAGCTGACCATAATGTCTCCTGCACCTTGTCAAAAACTGCAGATCAAATGTGAAAATATTGAAATCAGCTTGGGGAAGCATAGTAGGACATAAGGGGGTGGAAATTGGGACATGTGAAAATCGTGCTAGTTCGTAAATGCCAGTTCCTTTCTCTTTCTTACTAAAACAATGTCCAGAGTGCTGGAAGAATGAAATGTGAACATATGTTAAATTTGTGTGTAAGTTTATATTAAACTGATATCTTTCAAAAATGTCAACCCTGCGAATGATGAGATCTCTATCTATTCTGTAGCTATTATTGTGGATTGCCTGGGTTAATGACCTCTCTTGTGTCCCCTGATGCCCCCTGCACGTATTTGTCACTTCATGTATCATGTTTCTTTATTTCTAAAGTTATAAATTTTTGTGTGTGTGTGGTAACTTTTCACATCTACTCTCTTAGCAATTTTCAAGTATACAATACAGTATTATTAATGATAATCCCTGTGTTGTACATTACATCCCCAGGACTTATTAACTGGAAGTTTGTACCTTTTTACCAGCTTCACCCATTTTGCCCACCCTTTACCCCGCTCCTCTGACAACCACCAACCCATTCTCTGTATCTGTGAGTTTTGTTTTGTTTGTTTTTAGATTCCACATATAAGTGAGATTTCAGTATTTGTCTTTCTGTGTCTGACTTGTGTCACTTAGCATAATGCCCTCAAGCTCCATCCACCTTGTTGTAAATGGCAAGATTTCCCTTTTTTATGGCTGAGTAATATTCCATTGTATATATGTACACCACATTTTCTTTATCCATCCATCCGTAGATGGGCACTTAGGTTGCTTCCATATCTTGGCTGTTGTAAATAATGCTGTGATGAACATGAGGTGCATATATCTTTTTTTTTTAAATTGAGTTAATGATAGGTTATAATCTTGTGAAATTTCAGTTGTATATTATTGTTTGTCAGTCGTGTTGTAGGTGCACCCCTTCACCCTTTGTGCCCACCCCCCACCCCACCTTTCCCCTGGTAGCCGCTAATCTGTTCTCTTTGTCCACATGTTTAAATTCCTCATATGAGTGGAGTCCTACAGAGATTATCCTTCTCTAACTGGCTTATTTCACTTAACATAATTCATGAGGTGCATGTATCTTTTCAAGTTAGTGTTTTCATTTTCTTTGCATAAATGTCCAGAAGTAGAATTGCTGGATCATATGGTAGTTCTATTTTTAATTTTTTGAGGAACCTGCATACTCTTTTCCATAGTGACTGCACTAATTTACGTTCTTACCAACAGTGCACACGAGTCCCCTTTTCTCCATATCCTTGCCAACAGTTGTTATTTGTCTTCTTGATAACAGCCATTCTAACAGGTGTGAAATGATATCTCCTTGTGGTTTTGATTTGCATTTCCCTGATGATCAATGATGTCGAGCACCTTTTCATGTACCTGTTGGCCATCCGTCTGTCTTCTTTGGAAAAATGTCTGTTCAGATCCTCTGCCAATTTTTTAATCTGATTGGTTTTTTTGCTGTTAAATTGTATGAATTCTTTATATCTTTTGGATATTAGCCCTTATCAGATATATGATTTGCAAATATTTTCTCCCATTTAGTAGGTTGCCTCTTCATTTTGTTGATGGTTTCCTTTGCTTTACAGAAGCTTTTTAGTTTGATGTTGTCCCTCTTGTTTATATTTACTTTTGTTACCCTTGTTTTTGGATCAAATCCAAAACATCATTGCCAAGACTGATATCAAGGAGCTTACCTCATATGTTTTCTTCTAGGAGTTTTATGGTTTCAGGTCTTATTTCAAGTCTTTAATCCATTTTGAGTGAAGTTTTGTGTACGGTGTAAAATAGTGGTCCAGTTTCATTCTTTTGCATGCGGCTCTCCAGTTTTCCCAACACCTTTTATTGAAGAGACTGGCCTTTCCCCATTGTGTATTCTTGGCTCCTTTGTTGTAAATTAATTGGCAATATATGCATGGGATTATTTCTGGGCTCTCTATTCTGTTCTGTTCCATTGGTCTATGTGTCTCTTTTTATCCCAATACCATGCTGTTTTGATTACTATAGCTTTGTAGAATAGTTTGAAATCAGGAGGCATGATGCCTCCAGCTGTGTTCTTCTTTCTCAAGATTGCTTTGGATATTTGGGGTCTTTTGTAATTCCATACAAATTTTAGGGTTATTTGTTCTATTTCTGTGAAAAATGCCACTGGAATTTTAATAGAGATTGCATTGAATCTGTAGATGGCTTTGAGTAGTATGGACATTTTAACAATATTAATTCTTCCAATCCATGAGCAGGGAATATCTTTCCATTTATTTGTGTCTTCTTCAGTTTCCTTTTTTTTAAGATTTATTTTCTTTTATTTTTTTCCTCCTTCTCCCCAAAGCCCGCCAGTACCTAGTTGTATATTTTAGTTGTGGGTCCTTCTAATTGTGGCATATGGGATGCCACCCCAGCATGGCTTGATGACTGGTGCCAAGTCCACACCCAGGATTCGAACTGGTGAGACCCTGGGCTGCCAAAGCAGAGTGCACAAACTTAACCACTCAGCCATGAAGTTGGCCCCCAGTTTCTTTTTTTAATGTCATAGTTTTCAGTGTACATCTCCTTGGTTAAATTTATTCCTAGGTATTTTATTCTTTTTTTTTTTAAAGATTTTGTTTTTTCCTTTTTCTCCCCAAAGCCCCCCAGTACATAGTTGTAT